ATTCTGACCATGGTGCAGCTTCTGAAAGCCATCTCGTCGCCCAGGTATGCCGATTATTACGAATCCGGATAACGCAGACTACCACATACCAACCAGAAGGTAACGGCTTAGAGGAAAGAACAAACAGAACCATCAAAACTCTTCTACAATCCTTCATCAATAAGTCGTCAACGGAATGTTAGGGTGATGCAATACCCCAATACCTTTCCGCATACCGCGCATCAGTGCACGGGTCCACGGGATTTTCACCCACAACTTTACTTTTTGAACATGAATTATGCCTACATGTTGAGAAACAAATGCCGTTGTTGTCATGTGAGACTCAGGACTATGTACCATACATTCGCAGCCATCTAGCCGACGCATATCATTCAGTTAAAACCAACCTACAAAATGCCAGTAAACACCAAAAAAGCGTGCACGACCGACAAGCGAACGGTCTAAGCACACAACTGTAACAAATCGTGAACAGATTAAACACCCAGGAAGTCTGACTCCTGGGAACTTTCTGTGATCTTATGATCAATTTAAACAGATGCTTTACGACTGATATGGATTAAATTTGAAGGAGTTAAGATTGATTTATTTTGGAATTTACAAAATTAACTTAATATAATAACCTCTGCATACTTATTTATTGAACAAACTAAATAGACATATTGGATACTAGAATTGATTTTGTTCAACAAAAGAGTTGCTTTTATCAACGACCAATGCTCCACTAAGATCGCACTGACTAATAATCCATAAAACTGATAAAAGGATATTAATTACGTCGAGAAAGCATATGTTCATCACTATCCATTTAAGTAATAGGACATACACGCCCACTTCTGATCATAATGAATATAAATCTAGGTGGATTTGTGAACGAGTGTTTCAGTGATCCAAAGAATCTGTTTTAGCAATTTATCTCAGGGTTTCAAACCTACAATAAAACTTGTATAGTAGGATTCAATACCACCATTATATGCTTCGCTAAGGATTGTGGCTGTAAACACTTTTAGCAATGATGAACTGTGTTACATGGTCACATATTATGTCATATATTCACTGAAAATCGGAAATATGTGTAACTGGAATCGCCTAACAAGTAGTTCAATACTAGTTCTATCATTTCATGATTTAAACACCTGATGGCTTGAATACGTTTTGCATCACTGAAGAGTTTTTGAAGCACAACAAAACAACAGATCATCACTATTTCATTTTCACTCTATAAAATAATCCAAAGGGAATAAGGTTGTAATGAATGTGTTTAGGTGATATTACTTTCGATAAGTTCGATCATTTGATTATCACAAACGTCGGTATGACTCTGATCAAGTTGTTCTGAACAACAAAGAACGATTTGTAATTAAACCAATCAACTAAGTGAAGGCTTGAAAACTATCAAAACTATTCAGTCTGAGATAATATGACATACAACTACACAGATTTACAAATGAATAATTAACATTTATGAACTCAATCCTAATCAAGGGACAATATGATCTAGACAAAAGAATCAATTGAGTTAAACAAATATATATATGATTATTAAAAGGTACATTGAATAGACAAATAATCAACGTGATCGAGTTGTAGTCAAATATAAATATAACGTTAATTCATCTTTGAATTGGTTGTTTTAGTCTTCTCATTGATGTATAGGATTTGAATTGATCAGTCTCTTAGTAGTATATGACTATCTCCAATATTGCCTTAAGCTACAAGCATTACAAGCAAAAATGGATAGTAGTTAACAGTGGAATCCAGAACGTGCGTTACGTTTTATTTAGGACTCATCAGATGGGTACACCTGTATTCTATGAATTAAACGTCACCCCATTGCACAAATGAGCGGCTATCCTAACTCAGTAGCTAAATGGATGACCCGATGGTGCTCTAAGCAGACGGTAGTAAGCTCGAGTACCAGAGTGAACATCAACTCTGGAATGCAGATATATCCAGCTGAGGGAACCCAGACAGTATGAAACACGTGTATTGGATCTCACTGCTAGCCACAATCACCTCTGCTTATAAGCATAACTTCGTCGCTAATTAGGTCATAGTCTGATCGATTTACTTATTAGTTTACACCCTAATCAAACTTATTCGATTTGAGGTATGTTCTTCATAGATTAATTTCTCTTAGAGTACTTATAGAAAACTAGAAAACATTGATTAACTATTTTATCCTAAGTATAAAGACTCTGTTTCTTTTCAGTAATCTTCGTTTGAACTGAAAAACTTCGCAATCATTTTCACTGGCAAATTCTGACCATGAACTTGATAATAAACCGTGTAAATACCACACACAAATAGAGAAAAACACTTGGTAGATGTTTTAACATTAGCTAATACTCCTTAAAAGTGCAGAGACATAATTTCTAAACAAGATAAAACCTTGGGACAAAATATCAATTCACAGGGTTCCGGTGGATTATAATACGTTATATAACCATTTCATTTCACGATTGTTAAAGGATACTACAAACTGGACAATCAGCGCAAATGAATGACATATATGTGTTTATTAGTCGACAAATGAATTGATAATATTCAGCTCAAGACTTTCAGAACTCATTGGAAGGAATTATTTTTATTTATTTAAACACATAAATCCTGGTATAAGGAGGCAGCAAGTATAGCTGCGTCACACAGATCATTGGATTTGTGTGAGGGCTGGAATACTGATCGAGCATCCAAACCGAAACAGGTGGTTTTGTTCATGTTCCACTTTTCAAGCCTCTGACCTACTGTTATAATCTCTTTCTTACGGTTATGACCCAGCTATTCCTATTGCTTAGTATTCTCGGACACCGATTCACTCGACAAGACCCCAAATCAGAACACGGTTGAACAGGAAAGAGATTATATTCCAAATAACAAGGTTACATGGAAGTAAGAAGCAAGTAAGAAGCACAATAGTAAAAACGTTAGTATATTTATAGTTTTTACACGAGAAGATTCTAGAGTGTTCTCCAAGTATCGACTAGTGCTGGCTGGACAAGAAATAACCAATCAGCGTGCACCAAAGCAATCGTGCATTGAGCATGCTTTAATACAGTCTATGTCCCGCTAACACCTACAGGTGTAATCCACAAGACAGTCGATCAACGTTAGGAGATGCAGTCACATGGTAGACAGTGGCCAACAACAGGTTCATACAGCCATTGTTCTCTCAAGATCCTGGAGGCCATGTGCACTATCGATTTGGAATCAGCGATTCCCAACTAACTCTGCGTCCACCAACCCGTTTAAAGCGCCAGATATTCTCTTTTCGTCTTCTCCATTTCGTAAACAACACTTCTGCAGCGAGAGGCCAGTGAGTACGACTGCATTCGTGTGGAAATGTGAGACATTTCGAGTAGAAGAGCTGACTCCCCTATGACCGTACCAGGGCCTTTAGGTTCACGAACACAGTTGAAAATATTCAGAGGGTTCTTTACATTCTGTCAATAAATAATACGACCTAAACGGAGATAAAACACCCTTTAGATCACTAATTGGGCTGTTCACCACTGAATACCAATCTGGTGGTTTTCATTGGCACACACTCACTGAGAAATCTGAAGACCCTGTGTTCAATCTCTGTTGGTAAGATTGGGGATACATATTGATGCGGAGTCCCATAGTAGAACGAAATAGCTATCCACTTATACCACTTGGTTTTCTATGGTTGTTTAACTAATAGTCAGTCTGTAACGTAATCTATATTGTTATTGACTGGAAACAAATACTCATCAGTTCTAGTTTGCAAATCTGATAATAATAAGACGGTAGTTGATTTATATAGATCATAGAGTACTATCAAAAAATATTGAACACCGAACCACTGTTACAGCAGTAGTGCTTCGACTAAGATCAATCTATGATGAATGCTACCTATAAATCAAATTGATTCGTATAAAACTACTTTGACTTGGCAATAATAATCAGCTCACTATTAATGACTTATTTTAAGATGTTCCTGAAGTTCTAGTAAAACGCCGTGACTGATGAAGTTCAAACATGTTGACAGTGAAAAAATTGTCATTAATTGGATTGATTAATTGTAGGATTGTGGTGTACTATGCTACTTAAGTCATATGTAACACTAATTGGAAGTAGAAACCTCGGCAGTGGATGGCTAAGAAACTCGAGAATAGAAATGGAAATAGAAAGAAATTGTAAACTGGAAGAATCATACACAATGTGTAAGACAAATGAAGTTTTCAATATATAGTTCTTATATTTTACCAAGAAACTCAGTGGGTTATTTTTTATTAAATTACACTGCCTATCTCTACCTGTGTTCTTATTCATTACAGAATTATATCGAAAACTGGTTGAAGTTGAATATTTAGTACTGGGTGCTGAAACTGGTAGTTTCAACGGATAAGTATTCATCAACATAAAGATGTACATACTTGAGAATCCCAACAATAGGATCAAACAACTAGTCGGAACTCCCTAATTTTCACTGATATATTTAATTAAAACCTATCTGTGATGTATGCAATTTCCACGTTGAACGAATTCCTACGTAACCTCCTTTCAACTACATAGATTGTTTCTCAAGAATTAGATCCAAATCAATCAAAAGGTGAATTATCTTCATTTTGAATACTAACCAGCATATCAGTATCATTGAATTAAACACGATGAAACATCAATCCCGAATGACCAACTATCAAAAATACACCAAAAATATTCTGTAAATACGACTGAAATAGAAATAAATTTCGAATGGTGTTTTCTTTCTCTTTTTCGTTATCTCAAATATTCACGGAGTCCATTCAACAATCATGAAGAGTCTAATCAAAATTTTTGCTGAGAAAATCTTCTTTTTATTTTTATTTTGTTGATATTTTTTTCATTCGGGATTCAATCCTTCTGTATTTTATTTTCTATTAGGGATCAAATGAACAAGTTGACAATGTGATCAATTTAGTCATTTCTAATCATATTTTAACAAATCAATATTGTAATACTATTCAGTTCAATATATGTCTATGATAAAGATATTGACTTACATGTGAAACAAGCTTCTGGCAATCGATTCGGTATCCATTTACGTTCGTGATTATCACAAATCAGTGTTATATGAGCTTTCCATGTTGTAACCACTATGGATTAGGAATATTGTTATTATTAAGTGATGATCTATTACCTGTTGACGAAAACGACGAGGATGATTGTGATGGATTGATTTCATCTAGGGCTGGATCCATTGGTTCTAATTAACGATCAGATAGACAGAATACTTCAGCATAAGCGAAGATATGAGAGGTTTGCTGATTTACACGGAACCGATAGTCAACCACTCCATTACCACTTGGTGGATAGATGGCAACACATGACAGAGCTATAAAAGAAGTTGATAAAAAAGAAATAATTATACATGTTACAGTGATATTTAAAATTTCAAAATGTTTCTTAACTAGTCCCTAGACAAAGTGAGATACTGTTATAATTCCTTTTATTGACGAACCAGCTACTCCGATTGCCTAATATTCTTGAACACTATTGTACTCGCCAAGCCCCCAAATTAGAACATGGTTGAATAAATATGTAATTATATTCCAAAAAATAGTGTTGCTTAGAAGAAGAGTATCATGACATAAAAAACGTTCGTATATTTATAATCTCTATATGAGAAGATCCTAGTCCTCTCCAAGTCTCCGAAAGTGTTGGTTGTCTAGGAAACGGTCATCCAGCGTGCTTCAACACAATCCTACACGCAACATGATTTAATCCAATGTATATCCCGCTAACAAATATCTACCTTGGTCGTGACCATGATTTAGAAGAAATCTTATCTAAACTATGCTAAAAACTATTTTCTCCACCAAAGTATTTTAATAAAGATGAATAGTGTGTAACAATGAAATCCAAGAAGAGTATTTCGCCTTATTTGGGACTCGTCAGTTGAATGTATACGCAATACCTTCTAATATTCATGTTCACACTGCACACTTCAAACGCCCAACGCATTAACTCCGATGAGATACAAAGGTCAAACAGCCGCTTACATGTACAATGGTTAAAAATTTTATTTAAAAGGGTTTGTATCTCCCCATTGTTAAAACGAGTATCCTGAATTCTGCTTATAAATACCACCAAACTCAACGAAAAGAATTGTGGGTAAATAAAAATGTGAAGTGCCGAACCAACACACTAACAACCGCTCAGAAAAATAGCAGTTTGATCGGCTTTAAACATTTGTCTCTTGGATTCAGCGGTCACCCTTCCAGGTCGGCAAAATCACTACCTATCCAATATTCTTTTCAGATACCTCAAGAAAAAACTATCTTTCCTCAATGTAGGTAACTGGGAAATATCAGCTGTTCACACAACTCTAGCAGCATTCAAAAGCACCTTGTATGTATTAAAAGAACTTCATCTCTTTTTGATATTTTTCCTCTATCTCTACTATCAAATTCCGCCTAATGGCTTCCTCTTACATAGTTCTAGTCATGTGCAACGTAGAATCTGATACATAAGTATGTCAGTTCAAGTTTTCATGTCTTATTAGTAAAGAGAGATAAAATTATCGAGACCAATTCCAGATTACTACCAGTAGTAATAACATTTGTGGTAGTAGGAAGGATTAAGTACATGCAAAGAAATAAGGTATAAAGCGATTTTGTGACACAGGTTAGGTCCAAAAGCAAGAAAAGGAGTGAATGTATATGGACCATTGTGAGTGGTCCTGATTTGTCATCAAAAGTTGCGAATCATCGTTAAGGATAATCACGCCGACTCCAACGCGGTAATCTGAAGCTACTTAAATGACTCAGTCCACTTGTTACTGACTTCATGGACTAGTGCCACATCTTGGTTTAACCACTTTTAGCTTACTGAAATCTACTCTTAAGCTAGACAATATTCCCCATCAAGATAGGTGGTGATCTGGTATATGTAACAAACATACCAGTCACCTTAGTTGATAAAGATTCATTACATACATACTACTACTAATTCTGAGGATACAAATAAATTCTATAATATATTTAAATTTCGATTCATTCATACATTATTTTATGACAATGGAAAGAGAATATTGAAATTCAATTTCATTTCTCTCAATTGATGTATTCAGTCAGAAAGGTAAGTTAAGGTGAGTGAAGTGAAGCGAGGTGAAGTAGCATGCAATAATCACTATTGCAACAAATAACTAACTGAATAAATAAATAAATAAATAAACCAGTGAATTAACCAATCAATAATAAATCAACGATTTCGTTGAGTACTTTCAAAGTCATTTTCTTGTTGTCTAACAGTAAATCAACGAGCACTACATATAGAAGTTTAATTATATTTATTTATTTGAACACATATATATTGGTACAAGGAATGCGTCAAATATATATGCGCCACACAAAACAATGAGAATTTAAGGGGAAGGAGAAAAAAGAGATTGATGTAAGGTGGTGTAATAATTATGATGGAAAAAATGGCGGAACAGACAGGTACAATCAGAAGAAATCTTTCAGTTAAGGGAGACACAACCACTTTTTATGAAGAAAGTAAAAGAAGGTTACAGCAGGATCGCCACTGGCTTCTATTCTGAGCCATGTCTGATAACGTCTCTAGCCACTGTGTAGCACCATCTCTCAGACCCCAACCACGGAGTCGTGAAGGACCAACACAAGCCAGTCCCATGCAGCTTTCTTTCATACCACGACACCATTTCATACACTGACCACCTCTCCGCTCCTTTCAACCAGTCCCAGAGTCGGCAAATAATGCACGACGTGGAATTCTCTGGGACGACATTCGTAGAACATGTCCAAGCCACCGGAGTCGATGTTTCAAGATGATCACACCAATTGAATTACTGTCCCTGTGCCCGAACACACGATGCCGAACCTCTGCATTACTGACATGGTGTTGCCACTGGATGTCGGCAATCCTTCGGAGACAGCGATGATCAAACACAGAGAGTCATCTAACGTCCTCAACTCGGAGAGACCAGGTTTCACAAGCATAGAGCAAAACTGCTCTCACCGACGCGTTGTAGATCCGACCTTTTACAGCCAGACTAACATCACGAGAGCGCCAAAGATGGCCCAGATTGGCATTAGCCGCTCTGGCTTTCACTAGACGTGCATTGATCTCATCACTCACACCCCCACCAGCACTAATACAGCTACCCAGATACACGGACTTCTCAGCTACGTCTATCTGCTCACTATCCAGGGTGAGTACAGGTTTAGAATCCTACCAGTCTTGTAGAAGTACTTTGCACTTGGAAGGTGCAAAGCACATACCATACCAACGGACACTGATTGCCAAATGACCAAGTGCCGATTGCATGCCTTGGGCATTATCGCACAGTAAGACAATATCATCCGCATACTCAAGGTCGAGAAGTCTTTCCCCAGGCAACAGATCCACACCACCATTACTTACATCCATCAGAGCTGTTTCCAGAATGTCATCGATGGCAAAGTTGAGGAGGAATGGTGAGATTGGGCAATCCTGCCTAACCAAACTGCTCGAATGGAACAATGGAGAAAGGTGGTTGTATGCCCTCACTCTGCCTGAGGTGTTTGTATATAGGGCTTTTAGGATGTTAATAAACTTCTCAGGCACACCCTTCTTCAATAGACAATCCCAGAGAACAGTCCTGTCCAACGAATCGAAGGCAGCCCTGATGTCAAGAAACACTACGATTGTTGGCCTTTGATAAGTATGGCGGTGTTCTAACATTTGGCGAAGGGTGAATATATGATCAATTCATCCTCGACCAGAACGAAACCACCCTGCTCCTCGCGAGTCAATCATTCTCGGGTTTTGAAAAACCTACGAAGTATGACGGAAGTCAATAGCTTGGACGCAATCGGAAGTAGACTTATCCCCCGATAGTTGTTACAGGAACGACGTGAACCCTTTTTAAAGATAGGGACAACTATCGACTCATTCCATGACGTTGGTACACTCTCTAACACCCAAACCTTTGTAAACAACGTCGTCAATTCCTTAGTCAGAATGTCACCACCACCGTCCAAGACGTCGATGGATGTTAGTGATTGGCATTCCATCATCCTCGTAGATTGTTTCGCTCACACCAGATTGCTTGCTGCCAGTGGCTCGGATGAGTTGGAAGAGCTTCCGGTAATTACCAGATGCACCTGCTGCCTCCAACTCATTAGCACGCTCCGACCACCAGGCTTCTCGGTCCTTACGCAAGCTTTGCCCGATTTCCTTACGTAACATCCTTCGTTTGTGGTCAAACTCACGGTCACCCGGAGTAGACCGACGGGCTTCGATGAGTTGTAAGGAACCAGAAGAAACCCAGTGCTTAAAAGCGGGACGTTTCGCAAACCCACAACTGTCAGCACCCGCCATTTTCATGGCGTCATGCAATTGCAACCAATGCTCATCTATACTTTTCGGTGGAACGGTAGCTAGCCTAGAGGCTAGCTCGGTTCGATACTTGCTTGCAACAGAAGTTGCAACCAGCTTGCTAATATCAATCCGTTGATGGCGCTCACTTCGTTGTCCACTGAAAAGTAAGGTAAGATTAGCGCAGACCAAAGCAGGGTCAGAGTCCAGATAGGTACTCCAGAAGGAGCGGCAGTCTTGTACACAACCACGCCAGCTGTAGCTGATCGCGATGTGATCAATCTGAGTCCAGGCTTGAGATGCAGAGGGAGGACGCCAGGTGGCACATCGGCGATGACTGTGCCGAAAGTTAGTGCTAGCCAGAAACAGGTTGTGGTCTGTGCACAGTTGCAGTAGACGGTCCCCGTTATCTGACCTGCGACCAACCAGTCCCCATCGGCCACCTAAACGACTCTCTTCTGTGCCTAGACGCCCGACCTGAGTATTCAAGTCTCCGGCTAGTACTACAATATCTGTCGAACGCACTTTCTGGAGAACAACAAATAACTGGTGTTAAAACTCATCCTTGATTGCATCCGGGCTGCAATCTGTCGGGGCATATGCGGAGATGACATAAAGTCATCGTTTCTCACGCCGATTTCTTCTCACTTTGATGGAACTCTCTAATCTAACAGCACATAACCGACTGTTAATGGGGATCCAATCGACTAGTGCTGCCTCAGCTCTAGCGCTTAGTGCGACACCAACGCCAGCGAGACCAGACGAAGATGCCACAGGGTCCTCGGATAAGCGCACGTAAATCAAGCATTTTGAATTGACACATGGAGAGTGATTCATTCATACATCATTTTATGATAATAGAAAGAGACTATTGAAAATC